CTTATTTAGAATGTTTACTTTAACTGTTTACGTAGAATGCCAAAGTCAATGAAGGCATCAAGCATTGAGTTTCTAATTGCCTGTGGAATGCTTTATTTTATAGAGGTCCTGCTGGAAGCTTTGTTCCTTACTGTGGATCCTTATATGAGGTATGATTTTCCTCCTAAAAAGTTACGTGTTGTGCTTTGGACCCTGTTTTGAAATAGTCCATCTTTTAAAATATCCAACTGATTGTCATTCCCCCTGTTGTCCCAGTATAATATCAGTGATAAGATTCATGGATGCTCATCTTTGCCAGCAAAGGTTTGAGAAGTTTGATGAGAGATTCCCTTGGCCCCTCTCTTTGACCACCATTTCCTATCTTAATATGCACAATTTGCCTCTCACTGTTCCCAAAAAAGTAAAAGACTAAAGAAACCCAAATCCAATTTGTCCATTTCACTACTGGCAACTAATTTGGGTGGAGGAAGATGGTAAGACTAAAATAAGCGTTTTTTGCCTTCCATTTAACTGTATTCTTTTAATTTAATCAAATATGTGTACCTAGTAAACAACTCAGGGAAGGGAGGGAATAAAAGCATTTATGTGGCACTAACTTCTCAGTGATTTTGCTTATTGGTATATAATGTAGTCATCATTCTTTAAAATAATTGTTTTCAGAGCTGATCAATAGAGATTCAAATCTAAGGTAAAAAAAAAATGTTTCCAAATGTTAACTAACATCCCTTTTTTGAGTGGTTAGTAGGATTCTGTGACGATTCCAATTTGTAAGCCTTTCCAATCAATTCTCCTGCAATACCAACCAATTCCCCTGCCAAAATCAAGAGTCAGAAATGCAGCCCACTGAGCCACCCAGGTGCCCTTTCCCAAGAAGTCTTTATGTATTAAATTTTTTTTTTTTTTTCAGAGTGGCATCCAAAAAATTGAAGGAGGGTGATGTGATGATGGGGCAGCAAGTGGCCAGGTATTTCTGTGTGTCTCCATGTCTGAGAAATATGTCTCTCCTTTACCTCCTCTGGGTCTGCTTCTGTCTATCATCCCTATAATTTCTTGAGCCCATGTGATTCACTCACTGATCTTGGAAGCAGCTTGGGAAACCTTGCCCCTTTCCTGACTAATTGGGATGAAGGGAAGCCTGTGAAATTACCATCGCTACTTAAAAATTACTTAAAAAATTATAATTGTCCAACTTACAATTATTGCAAAAATTCAAGTAAATCAAAAATTAGTATCATGGGGGGCACCTGGGTGGCTCAGTGGGTTAAGCCGCTGCCTTCGGCTCAGGTCATGATCCCAGGGTCCTGGGATCGAGCCCCACATCGGGCTCTCTGCTCAGCAGGGAGCCTGCTTCCCTTCCTCTCTCTGCCTGCCTCTCTGCCTACTTGTGATCTCTGTCTGTCAAATAAATAAATAAAATCTTAAAAAAAAAAAATTAATATCATGGAAACTGGAAGATCCCTCACTAGCTGAAACTTAGAGGTGACTGTTGTTAATGTATTATTATTTCAAAAATTGTTTAGTACACCAACTAGTATTCATAATTTTTCTTAAATAATGGGATTATATGCCCTTCAATAAATTGCTTTTTCTCACTTAATATGTTATGGATATCTTTTTGATAATATGTAAATATACTACCTACCTTTTAATGGCTGCAGTTTTTTTTTAATCAATCTTTTTTTTCCTCCCAAAGATTTTATTTATTTGAGAGAGACAGAGCACACATGGAGGGGGGAGGCACAGAGGGAGAAGCAAACTCCCCACTGAGCAGGGAGCCTGACACAGGGTTCAAACCCAGGACTCCAGAATCACAACCTGAACTGAACTTAGACGCTCAACCAACTGAGCCACCCAGGCATCCCTTAATGGCTGCAAATTAATCCCATTGTTATTCGCTGTGTAACTAATCTGTTCCTGGTAGCAACTGTTTCCAGTTTTTTCTATCACAAGTAGTTCTACAAGGAACATGTATGCCTCTTTATGTGTATGTCTGTGTATTCTCTGCCTACTTGGATGAATATTGCTTCACATTAAATTCCCAGAAGTATAAATTATAGGTCAAAGGAGATGCTTATTTATTTATTTATTATTTTAGAGAGAGAGAGAGAGCACAGGTTTGGGAAGGGGCAGAGGAAAAGGGAGAAAGTCTTAAGAAGACTCCATGCTGAGCACAGAGCCCAGTGCAGGGTTCAATCTCAGCACCCTGAGATCATGATTTGAGCCTAAACCCCATCAGATGCTTAACCAACCTTGCCACCAAGATGCCTGAGAGATGCCCTTTTTTTTGAATGCGCAATCATCTAATTTATAAAAAGATGCAACAATATTTAAAATGATACAAAATATCAATTTAAAAATGACATCAAAAAGTGAGTGTATTTAACCATACTCAGCTCGTAACAGAGCAAATGGGTAAGAAGAGTAATTCATGTTATAGCATATTGTTAATACGAACTGGCAACAGAAAAAGTTGGTAAAGGAAGGCAGAAGAACTCCATCTTTTAAGAATTAGAACCAAAGGGCTCCATTATTTTCTAGCATCTGCTCAATGTTGTACCTATGTTAGAAATGTACATGATGGGAACTCCAGGGATCTTCTGGATCCTTCCTTTAAGGTCCTGGTCAACTGTAGCCACAATATAACACTTGTGCTCAGTTCCTCTCTGTACTAAGAGGCATCTGCCTAGATTCCTTTGGTGTGCATGGTAACCATTCAAATCTTGGATCCTTGGCAGTCCTTAGAAGTACTCAATACTTTTGCCCCAGTTTCTCAGTTTCATCCATTACACAGTCAGTTATACAAGGGATACACTTAGCATACAGACAGTCCATCATTGATTGTACTAAGTCAAGTTTGACTTTAATGGAAAAGTTGATGAAGTTGGTATCAACCAGGATGTGGTATGGTAGGCCCAACTGGGTGTTATCCTGGAAAAATAAGCACGAAGGATTTTGGGGGACTTGGGATCTTTCTTTTCAGATTTTAATCTAACCTTCTCCTTAAGCCTCTGATCTCAGAGACTAAGCATTTCCTTCATGGTCTCATGCTTTCTTGATTTCTTTTGCTTCCCCATGTTCACACCTTACTCTTATTTCTTCTGGAATCACCAACCTGAGAGAAACACATTTTTTAAAAAATTTTTTTAAAGATTTTTTAAAAAATATTTTATTTATTTATTTGACAAACAGAGAGAGATCACAAGTAGGCAAAGAGACAGGCAGAGAGAAAGGGGGAAACAGGCTCCCTGCTGAGCAGAGAGTGGGGCTCGATTCCAGGACCATGAGACCATGACCCGAGCCGAAGGCAGAGGCTTAACCCTCTGAGCCACCCAGGCACCCCGAGAAACACATTTTTAATTTGAACTTTTGACGTCACATTGCTTTTTGAAAAGATTGTATGAATATCCACTCCCTCCAATAGCATATTAAAGAACTTGTTTCCTCATACCTATATGCCTATTGCTTATCATCTTGGCAATCTGAGGTGAAGTCACATTGATGTTTCCATTTAACTTCCATTTCTTTCATTATTAGGAATGTTGACTTTTTTGGTAATTTATCAGTTTTCTTCTGTGAATATCTTTATGTCCTTTCCTTTATTCCTTTAGGTCTTTTCATCTCTTATAGTGATTCGTGAGATCTTCTTACGTGTTAGGAATATTAGTGTTGCAAATATTTAGGTCTTTATTTTTATCTTTCTCCCATGTCCAGTCATAGTTTAAAATTTTTATGTGGGGGCACCTGGGTGGCCCAGTTGGTGGAGTGTCTGACTCTTGGAGCATCTTACTCTTGGTTTTGGTATAGGTTGTGATCTGAGGATCGTGGGATCGAGCCCCCCCACCCCCAATATGGCTCTGACCTCAGCAGGAAATCTGCTCGAGAGAATATATTTTTTTTAAGATTTTATTTTTTTATTTAGTTGACAGAGAGAGATCACAAATAGGCAGAGAGGCAGGCAGAGAGAGAGTGGGAAGCAGGCTCCCCGCTGAGCAGAGAGCCCAACGACGCTCTATCCCAGGAGCCGGGGATTATGACCTGAGCTGAAGGCAGAGGCTTTAACCCACTGAGCCACCCAGGTGCCCCTGCTCGAGAGAATATTAAGCAGGCTTTGCACCCAGGATGGACCCCAATATGGGGTTTGATCTCACAAACCTAAGGTGAAATAAAGAGTCAGATGCTTCACAGACCGAGTCACCCAGGTGCCCCTAAATTCATTTGTTTTTAAAGGATTCTTACTAACATAAGTATAAGTCATATATACTAATGTAATGTTGGGAAAGAAAAACTGGGTTGCAAAACAAAGTGATTTCAATTATGTAAATCATATAATATACATTTAAAAATGCATTTATTTGGTTTTTTAAAATCCAGTATAATTAACATACAGTATTATTTGTTTCAGATATACAATATAGTGATTCAAAAATTTTATACATTATTCAGTGCTCATTACAATAACTGTACTCTTGGAGCGCCTGAGTGGCTCAGTCAGTTAAGTGTTTGCCTTTGATTCAGGTCATGATCCCAGGGTCCTAGGATCAAGCCCTGCGTCTGGCTCCTTACTCAGCAGGGAGCCTGCTTCTCCCTCTCCCTCTGCCTGAAGCTGCTCCTGCTTGAGCTGTCTCTCTCTCTGTCAAGTGAATAAATAAAATCTCTAAAAAAAATTAAGTGTACTCTTAATCCCCCATCACCTATTTCACCCATCCCCCCAGGGCCCACCTTCCCTCTGGCAACCTCCAGTTTGTTGACTTCATTTAAGAGTCTATTTTTTGTTTGTTTGTTTGTCTCCTTATTTCTTTGTTCATTTGTTTTGTTTCTTAAATTCAACATATGAGGGCACCTGGGTGGCTCAGTCAGTTAAGTGTCTGCTTTTGGCTTAGGTCACGATCTCAGGGTCCTGGGATTGAACCCCACATTGGGCTCTCTGCTTAGCAGGGAGTCTGCTTCTTCTTCTCCCTCTGCCCCTGCTCCTGCTCTCTCTTGCACACATGCTCTCTCTCTAATAAATAAATTAAATATCTTTTTAAAAAAATTCCACATATGAGTAAGATCATATGGTATGTGTCTTTCTCTGACTGACTTCTTTTACTTTGCATTATGCCTTCTGAATCCATCCATGTTGTTGCAGATGGCAAGACTTCTTTCTGATGGCTGAGTAATATTCCATTGTGGAATGGAATATTCCATTGTGTATGTATATATGTATGTGTGTGTGTTGTTAATGTATTATTATTTCAAAAATTGTTTAGTACACCAACTAGTATTTATAATTTTTCTTAAATAATGGGATTATTTGCCCTACAATAAATTGCTTTTTCTCACTTAATATATATACACACACACATATATAAACCACATCTTCTTAATCCATTCTTCTATAGGTGGACACTTAGGTTGCTTCCATAGTTTGGCTATTGTAAATAATATAGGTAAACATTGGGGTGGATATATCTTTTTGAATTCAGGGGTAAACAAGAGACTGCATGTATCTTTTTGAATTAGTGTTTTCATATTCTTGGGGCAAATACCCAGTAGTGGAATTACTGGATCATATGTTAGTTCTATTTTTAATTTTTTGAGAACTCTCCATAACTTTGTCCGCAGTGGCTGCACCAGTTTGCATTCTCATAATATACATTTCAAAATATATCCTTAAGATTGCCGTAACACACCCCAGAATATTAGCAGTTATCTTTGTATTGTGGGATTAGAACCGATATATTTTTTTAATTTTTTATTTTTTATATTTTTATCCCCAGGGGTACAGGTCTGTGAATTGCCAGGTTTACACACTTCACAGCACTCACCATAGCACATACCCTCCCCAATGTCCATAACCCCACCCCCTTCTCCCAACCCCCCTCCCCCCAGCAAACTTCAGTTTGTTTTGTGAGATTAAGAGTCACTTATGGTTTGTCTCCCTCCCAATCCCATCTTGTTTCATTTATTCTTCTCCTACCCCCTTAACCCCCCATGTTGCATCTCCACTTCCTCATATCAGGGAGATCATATGATAGTTGTCTTTCTTTGATTGACTTATTTTGCTAAGCATGATACCCTCTATAGAACCGATATTTTTATTTCGTATATCAAATTTTCTTAAAATAAATGTGTTACATAGCTTCATGATCGGCGGGGGGGGGGAGACAGTAAAAAATGGTAACAGTGGGAGAAGGTGGGAGAAAGAGAGTCCACAGATGAGACTAAAAAGAAGCAGCTTAGAGGGGGAGGCAAAAATCCCAGTGAAGTCAATATTATGGAAACCAATGAGGAGGAGTCTGGGTAGCCCAGAGTGTTGAATACAGTAGAAGGGTAAAATCAGATAATGAATGAGGAGTGTCCACTGGATTTTGCAATCAGAAGTTGTTGTGACCCTAGTAGAGTAGCAGGGCTGAAAGGCTGCGCTGGAGAGGACAGTGCTATAGATTTGGGGAAGAGGAGGGGCTAGGGATGGAGAGCGGCCCGTGAAGAACAGAAGAGGCTGGTGTCCAGGGCACCTTGAGCCCGAGGATACATGCCTTTTAGAGAGGAGTGGGTGAGGACTGGGACAGATGTGGAACCAGTTCAGGGAGTTCCGCTCTAATGGCCCATATTTTCTCTCAAGGAGGCAGAGGAACCAGCGGCGTGGAATTACGATGGAGAGATGTGGTGGGATATTTAATCATGGATTATTAACTTTAGTGCCCTTTTAGGAAACCACCCATGCAGCATTCCAACTCCCTTGAAAGAGGTTTCCCATGTCGTAATGTGCTTTATCTTGCAGAGTTGTGGAAAGTAAAAACTCAGCCTTCCCAGCAGGAGCTCTGGTAGTGGCTCGTTCAGGCTGGATGACACACTCTATTTCTGATGGGAAAGATCTGGAAAAGCTACCCGCAGAGTGGCCGGACACCATCCCAGTGTCTTTGGCTCTGGGAACAGTGGGCATGACAGGGTGAGTTTCATGGGTTTATTTCATTTGTTCAAAAACATGACATTCTGGTTTTCTAAAATAGTTTGTTCAGAATGTGGTCAGCACATAGGATGTCTTGCGGCTCTCCAGGCTCCAGAGGTTTAACATTCCCCCAGCGTTTGTGTTGCTTCCTTCATTGGACCTCTGTTTTCTCTGCTAAGCTGGAGATGTTCGTGTGTTTTGCTCTCCAATCTGTTATTGATTGAAGTCCCCCTTAGACCAAAGTGTGCCTTTAATTTTTCCTCTAAGATTCCTTTTCTGTTGACTTCATCTTACCTCTTTTCCATTTTTAGAAGGGTGTGATGTTTGGGAAAGGCCTTGTGTATCTCGGGTCAATATGTCTAACTGAGAGCTGATTTTAGAATTTTCTAGAATGGAAATTGGGATGGGAGGGGTACTGATTGTTATGGGTGGAATGACATAATCAGAAAATGCACCTTCTGCTTCGCATTTGAGGTTACGCTAACTTGTCCAGCACACTCTGGCTTCAGCGTTCATTGGGATGGTGGTTCTGTTGATTCCTAAGAATCACCTGGTTGTATAAAATCCAGGTGTTCATGTTCCAGCATTTCTGAATCAGTGGGTCTGAGGTGGGGCTTGGGAATCCAAATTTTTCGTAAAACTCCAGTTGATTCTGAGGCTGGTGGTACTCCATCTAACTTTCAAAAAACACTGTGGGAATATTAGCTTTTGGGTCCTCAGAAAAAGTGCAGATTTCTGTGCCTTTCACTGCCTCACCTTCAATTTCCAACCCTAATGGGTCCCAGATATACTCAGAGGCAGACGTATAATTTCTGTTTTGTATGGAAATAACTTTACGTGTATTTGTCTGAAATTTTGCAAGCGGCTTAGCAATCACCATAGTGGATACAGATTTCATTGCCTCAGACTCGGGGGTGCAAAAACATAATAAATTCAGTGATTGTTCACATTGTTCAGGTTTAAAACTCAGGATTTCCTTTTTTTCCTATCCCTAAGGTTGATGCAAAGCTCTAAGAGCTAACACAGATTCTGTGTCAGGAGAAGGGAGACAACAACTTCTTGAACTTGATCTGTCTTAGTCTTACACCAGTCTCCTTTTCCCATTGAGTCCTCTGCCACATCGCCTTCCAGGCTGGCCATCCAAGCTAGTGGATTCTTCACCCAGTATTTGTCAGTACTGTCTGAGCTGCATTTCTGTAGACCCTGTAGTTCTTTCTTTGCAAGCTAACTTTGACATCCCCTTTGGGATGAGATGGGGAAATGGCACAAGTTCTTCCATCCCACTTAGGAGCCATGGAAAACTCCCAGTGTCTCTCCAGGACCCCCTTGTGCCTAGACACCACATACCATTCTGTCTGTCCTGTTGATGACATGGAGGCTTTGCTCACGAAGTTCGCCCTCTCCCTAGGACACACATGTTCTAGGACACACTGTTCTAGGAGTCCTCGAGTGGATCTTCTCTTGCTTCTGAGACTTGACCTAGGGATTGACAGGTTCAGCCCCTTTCCATCCAAGTCTCCATTTCTTCTCTAGTTCCCATCATCTTTATTCCTAAGGAGGAGATGGACCATTAGTGGTCAGCAATATTCATTTCCTGTGGGTTTTTTTTAATTTTTTGTCTTTTACTTGGACCCACAGCGCTGGGCTGTCGCGAATGCCTTCAGGATGTATCTGAATGAGTTATAAGGGAAAGCAACAAATCTATCCACATATCTTTAATTTCCTTCCCTCAGGCTAACAGCCTACTTTGGTCTACTTGACATCTGTGGTGTGAAGGGTGGAGAAACAGTGATGGTTAATGCAGCGGCAGGAGCGGTGGGCTCTGTGGTGGGGCAGATAGCTAAGCTCAAGGTAAGTGGCTTCTCCAAGTGCCAAACATTTACTCAACACCCACAGTGTGCAATGAGAACACAATAGTGAACAGAGTAGACCTTTCCCACTCTCACAGAATTCAGTGGAGTGGGTCTTGTTTAGAAGTTGAAGATATATTCAGAATATGAGAGATTTCTGAAGAGCTACTCTCTGTACCAATACAGTCTCTAGTCTCATCCTGAAAGTGCTTTTCAGAATGTTCTCTAGTTCCTCTATGATTAGACAGGATCTAGTCCAATGCTTTAGCCCAAATCAAAGAACAAGGGGGCAGTCACTGGGAGGGCTGACAAGGGGCCTGAGAGTCCCAGAACTGAGCCCAGATTATAGTCTAAAGGACCACTGTACCAAAAGATAGCATGCAAGTAACTGCAAGAGAAGACCAAAAGTAAGGAAACAAGAGAGTCAAATATAAAGGTTGTCAAGCCAGCAACTTAAAACGAGCTGTAAACCATATAACCACAGAGACTGGAATCTACTGATTGGTCAGAGGCAAGCAGAAGTTACAAGTTGGGTTGTAGGCTGATTCAAGGACTAATTTCACCTATAGACCTATTGGCCCATATGGCCATCTTCATATATAAGGCTCAGCACTTAGGGTGTTATTGGGGAACCTGACTGTACTAGCTAGGAGGGGGGTTGGTTCATGCTTTTGACTTATAAATGATTTCCATTTTTCCCTCCCCATTTAGGGCTGCAAAGTTGTTGGAGCAGCAGGGTCTGATGAAAAGGTTGCCTACCTTAAAAAGCTTGGATATGATGTTGCCTTTAACTACAAAACAGTAGAGTCTTTAGAAGAAACTTTGAAAAAAGCCTCTCCTGATGGTTATGATTGTTACTTTGATAACGTGAGTACAAATTGGACTTAATATCTTATTTACTAACAAACTACTATACAAAAGAATATGCTTTTAGAGTTTCCACCTAAAATATGTAAAGAGAGTAAATATGCCTTTAAAAGAACAGGTGTATTGAGATAATAATTTACCCATTTTTAAGCTTTGAACCTAGTGGTTTTTAGTACATTCACAGAATTGTACGATCATCACCACAATCAGTTTTAGAACATTTCATTATCCTGGGACGATGATGCTATACTCATTACAGTCACTCCCCATTGGCCCCCAAAAGTGGTCTTTTGTGACTAGCTTCTTACGCTATACATTAGCATGTTTTCAAGTTTCATCCATGTCGTAATGTGTTTCAGGGCTTCATTCCT